AGAGAGAGAGAGAAAGAGAGAGAACGTGAATTAAGCTAATATACACTTGTTATTTTCTTGCATGCTAGCATCAATATTTCTTATGGGTACTTGTATTAATATTTACTTTTTTCCTTAGATCACCTGAATTCAAAAACCAGCAACAATGATCATCCACTATATGGAATCAAAGACAACAAAGTATAAATCAAACTTTCCTAGAAAATAGTCACTGACTGAAAAAGTATATTTTATGATCTTTTGTTTCTTAATACTCCAAGAATTTATATACATATGAATGATAGTATGTAGCCAACCGTATTATATTGTTTTCTTTAATAAAGTTCTACCACACAAATGTGCAGTTTGATATAAACAAGATTGTGAAACAAAGAGTTTCTTCCTATGTGCTTAGTATTGTGTTAAAATTTTGAGGTCAGTACATGTGAACACATTTATCAAATAACCTGCCTAAATTCCCTCCTTGGTCAAGGATATGGAAAACTACTGAAGGTTGTTTCAGATCCTGAACCCCTTTTGCCACTGGCATGGCAACTCACCTCCCCCTTCCCTCAGCTTCCCATGTTGTAGTTTTCTGAGTTGGATATTCTAAATTCCCCAAATGTTAATTATGGAGTCAGGCTGAGAATCAGAAGGGGAGATTCAAAACAAAAATATTTGCATAACTATGTGAAAGTAGTTATAATGTTTTGGATTTGGCCCAGTTAACAGGAGATCACACTGTGCTGTAGACTTAGTCTCTGGTATATCTGGGAGATTTTGCTTGATCTGAAGAGCTTTATCCACTCAGAAAAGAAAGCTCTGGGCTAAGTGAAGGACAAGTGTAGCTTCTACTTGATCACAAAGGTTCAAGGAGAGTAAAAATAGAAGCTGCACATTCCAAATCAAATTGGACACTTCATACCAAATCTTGAGACAAAGCAGAATTCCTTCAAAATATCGCCGAATTAACTTGGATCTTCAGAAGGCTTCCTGCACAAATTGGTGTTTCTGAGAACTGCAGGGACCCTGCCTGCAGGGGGAAAAAAGCTACTTTTAAATTTTGTTTTCTCTAAAAGTGGGAGAGAGAGAAAGAATGGAGATAAAGTGAGTGACTTACAGTCTCCTAATTACAAGGAAGGTTCATACTGCTTTGTGGGGAGAACATTGAATGCTTTGATTGCAAATGTTGTCTAATCCAATCTAAAAACACAAATTACATTTTTCTTTTAAAAACAATCAAATGTAATCTGTATCTCTGTTTTGTTTTGGGCTTCGCATTGTTTTCAACCAAAAGTCTACAAATATAGGCCACCAGGTTTGGTTGTGGCTTAGCCATTATGGTGTGCAAACCTTGGTTCAAGGCACAGTATTTGTGTGAACCCAGCAAGTGGTGTTTTTTTTCCTTCAATATTCTGGGACAATCCGTGTTCATGCTAGCAATTCTGTGGGGAAGTAGCTGTTGTCCTCTCACAACAGTTAGGTGCTTCTAAGTTTCAGAGGTGGCTTTTTATTGCACATGTCCAACAGTAAACAGTGTAAACAATAAAATGCCATACTACAACACCTATGTCACAGGGGGAGGAGATGGTTGTCAAGTGTAGGAAAACTTCTCTGTGGGCTGGAACTGTATGATTAAGTGAACCGTCCACGAGGAGAAGTGGACATTTTTGGTGGCAGGGGGCTGGTTGCAAAAAGATCAACCCACTTCTTCTCTAACCCTGCTGCTCCTGGTACTTGAGGTGGGAAAACCCATGGGAGGACACCTTTTTACTGCCAGTTCTCTGATTCCATCTCTGAACTCCTTTTTTCCTTCCAAGAGGGGAAATCAGTCTTTTTGGTGGCAGGAGAATAGTCACTCCAAAGACCTGCTCCTCCTCCTTCACTTCCTGCTTTTCCTGCCACCTAAAGCTTGGCAAGAAAAATGGGAGAGATGGATTTTGTGCACAGGGAAAGCAGAAGAAGGCCGTTTGCACCAGCCTCAGGAGGCCAATAGGAGCAGGCTAGGCCCTGCCCCTAAAGCTACCAAATTTCTTGTGGTCTGGCCAGTACCAGGTTCTTCTAACTTTTCATTTTCTTTGTTATCCTTCATGTGGATGTTCTATAAATTGCCTAATCCTTTGTAGAGCTAAGCACACAAGGGGGAAAAAAGCAACATAAAATTCTGCATGCCACCCAGTTTAAAGTGGTTAATTCATCACAATAAATGTTTTGAGGTAGTGGCTCTTAGTGAGAGAGATGCCTGAGGCTTTAATTAGTACATACAGTACTGGTGTTCTGGCAGGAGATCATCTGCTCCACTGAATTTAACAAAATATACATAGCACTAAACCTTGTGGTACTGTACCTAATCATATTTTATTTATACTTTCATTTACAGCTAATTAGGAACTTTTAAGGAAATTGTTGTCAAATATGACCAACATTTCTCCAAACAATGTTAGACTTTGGTGTTGTTATTCATTATGTTTATTTACTTGTTTATTTAGCATATTTTTATTCTCTGCTATGCAATTATTTCTCTCTGGAGTGTCTCACATGAAGAAGTCAGGCAGAGAAACAAAGAGACTAACCCAGGCTTACAGTTTTACAAAAAAAAATAATAATAATTCATTGGAAGGAAGAAGTAGGAGAAAAAAAAATAAGGAAGGTCAGTTCTTTCTTACAACCTGAGCAAGTGGTTAGCTATAACTGGTGTGTCTGTGCATGTGGCTTCAAGGCAGCATTGACTCTTGTTGACCGCCTGAAGAAATCCCTGCAGTTTTCCTGCCAATGTTTTCAGAAGTGGTTTGCCATTGCCTGCTTGCTAGGGCTGAGAGAGCATGACTGGAAAAAGCATTCTGAATCATCCGTTCTTCTTTCTTGCCCCAATCAAGAATGGAGGCCAGCAAATTTCCCCCCATTGTTCCTGCAGACCAAGGACAGAGCAGGGAAGAGTCAAATTCCTGCAGCTGTTCTTTCTTTTGCCAATGGATGGATGGATGGTGTCCCTCCTTGCCTTAACTTTGTTTCTGAGGTGCCAGTGAGCCATTTCCCCAGTGGCTCTTGGTTCTACAAGCTGACAGGAGAAACCCAAATGTGCTTCTGTTACACTGCGCATCCCAGAGGACCCCTAACTGGAAGATGGGAAAGGAGAAAATCCTTTCATATCCAGTTGTGGGGAATGCACATTTTGCTGAACTGATGGCTGCTGAAGATTTGAAATCAGTTTGTCCATTATAATCACAAACCTTAAGAACTACCTGTAGCACAGTTATGCTTTGGCCACAGATTTTGTTTCCTTCTCCTCATGATGTTGTCCTTGTCTTATCCTTAGCTCATAGGTGAGACAGATTTAAGACATCATTAGCTCTGTAAAAGTAGCTTTTTCTTTTATTCCAGCTCCAAGTCAGTCTCAAGTAGTGTAAAATCTCCAATGTTAGTAGTGTCCATACTGTAGAACCATCAATTACCTTGGAAGTGAAGTCATGTAACCAGTCCAGGGTGTGATTGGAGTTGAATTTCAGGGGTGTTGGGAGCTGTTGATACACTCCTCTTCGGTTCACTGCCCAGCCCAAATAGCCCAGCTGTTTCTGTCCAAGGTTTGGTCCTCTCCATTAGTACTTCAATTCCTAAGTTCCTTTCAGATTTATCACTTCTTCCTTTCCCTTTTTTGACACAAGTTCTTTCCAGACTTCCAACACAGTCGTAGACAGAAGAACTGTCCTCTACTATTTCATTTAAGGAAGAGGGACTATATTTTTGCTTATTTCTAGGGTTATACAGTGCTTCAAAAAGTGCTTTGTACCACATAGCGCCTATTTGCAGTTCTTGAAATAAGCAGTGTCTTTTCCAGTTGTCCTTCATGCTGATGCATTAAAGACTTGCGGACAGTTGCTACATTATGCTCAAATTTGAAACACTGCATAGCATTTCTTTGCTACTTTCCCAGTATTTGTTGATTATTAACCACACCCGACTATCAGTTCTTCTGCTTTATCACAACCTAGCCAGTTGTGCAATTCGTTTTCTCTGGCTATTTCTGCCCTGATGCTTCCCCATATGTCTCTTTTATTTCACGCTACATTAATTTGGGAAGATGCCCAAATAGGATGTGAGATGAGGAGCAGATATATCAGTGTAGTGAAAATAGGCAGACTCCTGGACCTTCTCGTTCCTGCTACTGTGTCCTGATTAGAGGATGTTGTCACTGCTGACTGACAACATGTTGAGATGGGATGACAGTGAAACCAGAGGAGAAAAGTAATCACCTGTCCTATCATGATGGGTACACTAATGAATCCAGACAATGACATTTGACAGTGACTCAGGATAGACACAGCCCAGCAGGACTGGGATTTGTAATAAGGAAGACCAGTTGTTATGCCAATATTTAATACCAACTTAGAAATGGGTGGGTAGCCCTTGAACTCAGTAATGGGAAAGACCTTTCATCAGCTTGCCAGTTGTCTGAGATCTGACAAAGTTCAGGTTTACATGGCTAGAAGCTGTACCTCAGTCAATCAAGATGGCACAACATCTTAGTGATTATGACTTATGACCCAGGTTGTAGTTGCTCAGGCAAAGCTGAATCCCGAACTTTGTTTTAAATTTATTGAATCAATATGCAAGGTCTGGATCTAATGTGGATGCTCACTGCTCTCATGATAATACTTGAATAAAGGCAATTAAGATTCTGTTACCTTTGAACGTCAGTACATATATCCGTGCTTCTGTTTGCACAGTGTATAGGTCCAATGCAAATATTAAGAATGATTAAAATAAATAATATGGTCTCTGGTTGTGCTAGAATTGGAAATTTAGAAAGTTTCTAAGGTAAGCAACTACTAGCTATGCTTTTCTCCTTTTGTATCCTCTTTTCTTCTCTTGCTCCTTCTCTTCAGTATCTGCAAATATCTTGTTCTTACTTTCACATAAGTGATATCTTATGTGGCTGTGGAATAGTTGTTAGGGGTTAATGGGACTCCAGAGCTCAGCAGTTGATTTATCTCTGTTACTTCTGTTTTTATCTTCTGCTCTAGTCATCAAACCTCCAATACATCTGTCCAAGAAGTCTAATTTTGCCTCTGCAAGTACTACCTTCCCACCTTTTCACAAGAAAACTGAGGACTACTTGGTGAAATATAAACTGCTTGACCAGAGGGGCAGAATGAAGAAGATTCAGCATATCTCCCAGCACTGGAATAGGAAATAGGCCAGGTCTCCACTTATTCATGGAGGACACTTTGAAAGCTATACAAATTGTTCAACCAACAAGCAAGTATGCAACTGAACAAATATAATGGAAACATTCTCCTTAGACGCATTCTCCGTGATTCATCAAAGATGCTCCAGATGCAGCAGCAGAAAATGCTTTCCACTGTCTATACTTTTTTTTTTCTTCCTAGCATTTTTCCCGCATGTGCAGGGTCTGCTCTTTTTTTTCCGGATTAACCAAATGTGGATCCGTTGGTTGCGACAGGGATTGACCAACCAGCTTGTCACCTGAGCCTGACGCTGGGGACTGAGAGAGAGTGACTGGCCCAAAGTCGCCCAGCTGGCTTTCATGCCTAAGTCTCACAGTCCACAGTCTCCTGGTTTCTAGCCTGGAGCCTTAACCACTAGACCAAACTGGCTCTCCTGTTTTTTCCCTCTTGTCTATACAAAAGACTAAAGATCTACATGTACGTTCATGACTATATGCAGGTTGACTGTTTCTGCTTTCTTCCTCCTGATAGAGGAATGGCATGGTCTGTTATGCCAGTCTATAGCTTGTGAGAGTGTCTGAATTCAATTTTATGGAGGGTTGTGGTGTTGGCAGTGGGATTGGAGGTTAAACATGAAGCAGTATAAAATGATGATGATGATGATGATGATGATGATGATAGCCTGAATCAGTCCACTGCAGGATGAAGGCCTCTTCACTGAAGGTTATAGATCATAATCTACCATGTTGGTCCAACATGGATTGGTAGGTAGATTTTTTTTAACTTTGCAGTGTGGAGACAAGAAAGAGTGACTAACCCAAGTTACCCAGCCAGCTTCCATGCCTAAAAAGCATTAGAACTCACAGTCTCCAACCTTCTAGTCCAGCACTTAACCTCCATCACTACACATACTGCCCTCCATATATGTAGCCTAGTCTCTCTCTTTATAGGCTAGAAGGGCCAAAGAGTTGTTTCTCCCAGACATCTAGCTTTCTCAGAATCTTGGATATAACAGTTTCTTGAAAGGAATGGAACTTCCCTTGGATTCCATAGTGTACTTTGTCCCTTATATGGTCTATCTTTTGGACTTGTGTGTGTTTATTTATTTGTTAGATTTATCTCCCACTTTTTCTCCAAGAGCTCAAGGAGCTCAAGGTGACTTTCATGAGATTTCCATCCATTTTATCCCCATAACAACAACCCTGTGAAGTAGTTTGGGCTGACAGAGACAGAGTCATTCAGTGGATTTCCATGGCTAAGGGTGGACTTGAACCTGAGTCTCCCCACTCATAGTCCACCATCTTAACCACAGTATCACACAGTATCAGTTCCATCTACCTAGAGAACAGAAGACAATATATGTAGAACAAAATGAAGAATCCCTTTCTCTAGGCCAATGTCTTTGGAATAATATTCTTCTGAATATTATATTTGATGGCACTATCCATTAAATAGAATGGGGAAACAGTTAATTTGATCACTGCTTGAGTTCATTTGCTTATAAACATGGGTGAATTTTTTTCCTTCCCTTTTTTTCCTGCATGTCAATTTCAGTTTTGAGTTTAGGTGGGAAAAAAGATGAGGGACAAGCAAATCTTTCAGTCTACAGAGACTCATGCTTCTCTGGTGATAATTCAGAAACATGATTTATCTTATAAATTGCAGAACGGAATGCCTGTAAAATGAACCGCCTGTCAGAAATTTGGGCGAAAGGAGAGGAAGTTGTGACAACTCTCAGGTAGAAATCAGGGCCTTAGATATTTTGTTTCCTGATCAGTACAACAAAACAGGGCCCAAAGCATAGATATATAGTAGCCAAGACTGGGCACAAATACCTCTCTATAAGAATAAAAGTCCAGCATTAATCAGTGGAAAAATGCTCATTGGCTTCCCTTTCAAGCCATCTTAAACCAGCTACCTGATGTAGCGACCTCACTCTGCCGAATGATAGAATAGGGCGTTTTTATTTGTTTAAAGGTTTTTCCTCCCAAGTGTGTAACTTCTGGGCATTGAAACTCAGCCCACACATAGGCAGTATAGACATTTTTGGAGGAATGATTCCATATGTTGAAGATACTTTCCTGCTCTATCTGGTTTTGTAGTTTACAGATTGCTTTACTATCTTATGTCAGACAAAGGCTTGTCAGACTGGGAGTATGGTGGGGAGGGATGTGATTTGCTCTCAGAATTTTATGACTCAAAGAGAAGATATATTTTGTCAATGTGTTGCTTGTAAAGTGCCATTAGATTATTTGCAGAAATGGCTGTATAAAATAAAATATTCTATTCTTTCAAATGAATTTAATGTGTATGTCATATTCCTTTTCCTGTCACCATTTATTTATTGATTCAGGACTAGCCTCCAGAATGATAGCATTTTGTACATTTAGGCTTTGGAAAGCAAATCTTTATATTGGGATATAGGACATATATTTTTCTTAGACTGTCTGATAGATATTAATTTTACCAACACAACACTGCCATCTAGTGCTCGACCAAAGCAAACACTATCACAATTTTTTCTTTTTGTTTTACTTTTACAGTTTATTTTATTACTTTGTAACTAAGGGTGTATTTATCAGCCACAATATACACTGGAAATTTAGTAATCCCCTATGTTAGTTATGAACCTGAACATGTGTCTTAATTATCATTGATCTGAAATCAGAACTTAGGAGAAATCCAACATTTTCTTTAACAAAAGTTCCAAAATGAAGCCGGAAATTATGTAAGATCATGAATTCCTGAAATATTTTTCAAAGTTATTTTTCTCTCAAGTTTTAATTTTGACTTAGTAGTTAGAAATTATTTTTTTTCCATTGATCTGAGTTAAAGATTTAATATCATTGCCTGTGTTCATGCATAACACCAGAGGTGATACTAAGTTACCAAAATCGTTGGAGCAATTTTGTGTTTGTATGAGGTTTCAGAGAGCTGGAATCTAGCCTGAGCACAGATTATTGAAGCAGGTTTATAACTTTGACACAAAGTTTACTCAAGGAAATACAAGATGGGATGGGCAAAACCAAACTCTGAACTTGCTACACCCTGTCTGACAAGAAGATAGACAGCGTGCTCTGTGTGTTTGTGCCTTTGGAACAAAGGCAGAAAAGTCAACCAGGTTAGCACTCTTATAGGCAATGAGCAGACGGAATGGAAGACAAAGTGGGGTTAGAACAAATCCCTAATTACCTACAGGCTGATGTTTCCACCACTTTTTCCTCTTCCTTTTTTTTTTTTTTTTTGCCAACACATGTTGTGTTACAGGAAGTCTTTAGAATAACCTGGGCCGCAATGTGTCATTCTGAGGAAAAGTCTTCAGGAGATGCTTCCAAGAATGAGGCCATTGGGCCTGGTGGCTGCTTGCGAAGACATTTGTGCTCCAGAGAAGCTATTAGTGGACAACTACCCAATATCACCCCAATGAATGAAATACTTTCCACCACCCAATGAAATATTGGGTCAAGGTGGTCCTTGTAGATTGGCAGCTACTAGGGACAGTCTTCCTGGCAGTAGATGAGAGTAGTGACTTCATTTTCTAGGCTTCCTGACCTGCAGTGAGGTGGATGGATAGATTTTCCTATGGTACAACTGGAAGTTCTAAATATAATGTGGATAGTATTCTGATTAGTACAAAACACAGTTTGGTGTGATGTCTGAATGAAGTGATTTGCTTTGAAAAAGAGCAAACAGTAAAACACAATAGAAAAGGAAAGAAAAATCTGACAGGTTAGGTCAGTGTTGATTAAGTTGTTTTAATATGTACAGTTTGTCCATTTTAACCAGAGCCCATGAAACAATATCCAACAAATCTGTTGATTCAAGACATTTATTAAGATACACGTTATTCTTGTGGAACAGGTCCAGATAGAACAGAATTTCCAGGAATAATACAAATACAGTCATTGCATTATTTATGTGTGGTTACTGAGCCATGTTTTCCTTTGTCCCTTTTGAAAATAACGTCTTGAGGATGAAAAGGAAGCAGAGGAAAATAACAGACTTTTTGCTAAATTATAACAGAAGAAGTAACAGATTTGCTTTATTTGCATGAAGAAGAAACATGGATTGACAGGAACTTAAAGCTCTGTAAATCACCTCAACAAAGTATTTATAGGAGATCATATGAAGTTCAAAGACCAAAATCGGTCAAATTAGGACCTTTTCACAACACATACACACTTTTATTATACCATATAAATTCTAGTCCCTGGTTTTCCTGTTCCTTTCTCTCTCTTTTTTTTAAACCAAAGAAAATTAAGACAGCTTTTCCACAATTACAGTCTTAATTGTAATACTGTATCCAGTTGGTTGGTGGGGTGGGAGTAAGTTAGGGTGTGTGTGTGAAATCTTATATAGTACTGCAAAAATCAATAACTTAATTCTCATCATGATTGTCTTTTCACTGTATTTCCCAGAAATAAATTCTAACTATTAAAATACATATCCAGGGGGGACACAGGAAAGAGGACCCCTGAAATTTGTGTTGCTTGTTTTTTATTTCACTGTATGCTGTTTCAGAGGGATAAAATTACTTTTTCTGTCTGATTTTTAACTCACATTTCGGACACAGTGATCTTTACACAGAGTGGAAAAGGAGGCTTCTTATAAGACTACACAAATTTAGTGCCAGTCAACGCACAGCAAACAAAATAGCATTAAATCTGGTTGGCTGCTTCTGGACTTGAAAAATCTTTGGTTTGAATTGGCAGAGTGCTTAGATTCTCCTATATGCCTTGAATAATGATACATAAAGCCATAGTATTGCCATACTTCACGTAATAAACTATACAAGCCAAGGCAATCAAAGAGGCATAGAACATTGATATATGTCATCTATAATAGTGTATGCTTGGCTTGGAAAAGTCATGGCACTGAGCTAAAAAAGCAAATAAAAGCTGAACAGAAGAACAGTTTCTTCTCACCTAAAACACATCTGAAGATTAAAAGAATCATCTACTTAAACAATTTGTATTCTAGTCTCTTAGTAGATTACATAGCGTATATACACTACAGGCACTTCACTTCTAGAGAGCTCCTTTACAGATGGCACAGCATTTTCTAATATGAAATTTGTGACGAAGGATTGCGGAAGGCTGCATGACATCCTCATTTGCTAATGAGGGAAAATGCAATCAAATCATTTGTACAAATGAAGCTAACAGACAAACATTATCCTTTAACTGCCATTCTTGATTAACATTAACAGTTATGGACTGCTTTGTCATTGACAGTAGTGTGAAAATGGTATAACCTCAGTGTAAATAGTCCATAGATATATCTTTCTTATTAAGCTCCAAGAAGGTTATGATGTTTTAAGAGATAGCAAGCAATATTCTCATCTCCTAAGTTGCTTCCAGCTGCAAGGTGATTTCTTATAACTGTGATCTGTGACAATTGATCTAGAACTGCACTTTCACCCCTTCATATCTGTCAGGAAATATGCAAGAATTAACATAAAACCAGAATAGAATTTTCATATAGATCAGCTTTCTACAAGATAAGGCCCTCTGGATATGTCAGACTCCCAAGAATGTATATGAGGGTTGAAGTTCAATGAATCAGAAAGTACAATGCTGGGCATAGCTTATATGGATAATGTACAAAATATAACTGTTGACTGAAAGTAACCCCCACATATTAGTTCAATAGAAGGTAATGGCTGCAACAGAATATTGTTAAACAATACAGATTCTGTGAGTAAAATGAAAGGACATCTTGGCCATGATGACTTTATGCATAACCTTTTGATAGGAAGGGTCTGATTTTCTTATCAGTAAAAAGTGAATTATGTTGCAACAGTGTAGAAAAGCTGAGTGGGTTGAGTGTGGGTATGGAAGCAATCTCATATGTGGGATGGCGATGTGCGTATGATGGCCACTGTGTATTTACAGACACATGTGATGTATATTGAAATTCAATTCTGCCAGTCATTATTTTTTAGGAAACTATCAGGAAGCTATTATTCCTGCAATTATGTAATTTGTTGATAGAGATACCAAGTACCCTTGATTTGAGAAAATAGTTATTGTATATCAGAAAAAAATGTTCTGATGTAAAATAATAATAAAAAAGGTCATTTTTACTCTATTGCAAAACAATTTCCAAAAATGGCAAAATAAATTCATGAGTGTGTACATAAAGGAATGAGAGGGAGAGACTGGGTACAATACTAGGTCTTCTGGTGCTGACAAGAAGGTTATTGTTGGTTACCGGATTTTGCTTTTTGACTACCTAAAATATTGAAGACACACTGAGGTTCATTTTGGTGGAAAGGTGTAACACTATAGAAAAAACATGATCCACATTCATATTTAATGGAATATAACTGAGCAGCAATATATGTAAGAATGCTGCATGGAGTCTATTCCATTTTTATAAGGACTTTGCAGATAATTATTTACAAAATCATGACAATCTGACTGGAATCTAAAATGGTGATGTTTCTGCCTCCTTTTCTTCATCTTCAGCAATCACGGTCTGTTCATCTTCTTTAAGTAGCTTAATACCTTCAACAAAGGAAAAGAGACAAATCAAATTATTATGAAAACCGCTGTTTGGATCAAGAAGTGCGAAGTACTTAGCTTGCCTGTACTGGCTAGAAGAGATCCATGATTTGAATTTTAAAAAGCAGAAACACTCAAAACAAAAGCTTCAAGACAGCATCTGGTTTTGATTGGACACAACAATAAAGGAAGCATATATGGCCTTTTCCTCACATTGCTCTCATGATTTCAATACCTCACTTCTCACTATCATTTCACTGTGGGAAAAAGTTCTGTACAAGAACAAAACATATTTGCCTATATTGTGAAGCTCCTGTTACACCAGTGGGTTTAATAGGAACTTTGTGAAGGTGATTTCCATCCGGAAAGTAGCTTTTATCAGTGCCACTGATAGGCTCAGACTCCAAGCCAGCTGTTTAAATTTTTTTTAAGAAAACCATTCCTGGATCTTAGCTTTACATCCTCCTAGCAGCAATAAAATATTACATTTAACTGGATGGCTAGGAAGTGGGAGTGGGCTGGAGAGGAAGAAATATCAAAAGATGAGTATGGCTCTTTCCTCAGTATTTTTTTCTACCCTAATGAAAGGGATGGGGTTAATTATTTGGACATGTGTGTCCACAAATGAGATTCCCCTCAATGCTGCAAGTGGTACTTTCCATTCTACAAATTCAGGTTCCAAGCACTTTATTATTTGGCATACATAGACCAGATCTGAAAGTTATGGGGAACAGTCCTGAAATTGATAACCTAGTTGAAGCTGCAGTTCATTCACTGCTGGCCTTTTGGAGGAGAATAAATGCCAGAACAGCAGTGGTGAGAACTGAAAGGGCAGAAAAGTCCTTAGTATAGTCTACTCTGTGCTCTCCTCTCCACTTTCTTCATAAGCAAAGGAACAAAAATGAGTATTTTATTAGTAAGTGGCTTCAGAGTATTAATGATGAAAAACACATAATTAATTTAGTGTTGCTTTTTCATTCTGTGATGCAGATACATATGAAAGAAAAAGCTATAAAGAGAGAGCCGTGGAGCGTGATGGTCAATGTGTTGGACTTGTACCAGAGAGACCCAGGTTCTCATCTTCCCTCAGCTGCAAAAACTCACTGGGTGAGTTTGGGCTAGTCATTCTGTCTCTGTCCAGCCTGTCTCACAGAATTGTGGTTGTGGGAAAAATAGGAGGAGTGCCAGGTATGCCAATCTTTTATTTTTATTTTTATTATTATTATTATTATTAGTAGTAGTAGTAGTAGTAGTATTACTATTATTAAGTTATACATCTTGATACATTGTATTGTTTCAATACAGTAATGCTTATGTAGTAATATGATTAAAGTATGCCATCTTGAGCTCCTGAACAAAAGGTGGGATATAAATGTAACAAATAAATAATAGCCTCCTAAATAAAGGATATCATCTATTTACTTTAGCTGGATATTTTAATATTTTTATACACTGTTTAGTACTTTCCATTAAGTCTCAGGAATTAAAGCAAAGGTTGACTGATTCAGTTAACACAGCAGGAAAATGAACTTTTGAATTTGGCTGGGAAGACATAAATTCCCTTAATTCTGCCATTTGTAAATAGATATTTATAATACTTGTTTTCTTCCCACCTTTTTATTTGGGATTAAAATTTTTGGAGACTTGCAAACGCAGCTTATTCTCCATGGGGGCAGTATTCAGCTTTAAACAGTCCTTCCTACTTGTGGACTTTCTCCCCACTATTTCAAAGGCTGTTCCCAGGATGGGAAACCTCACCCAAATCATTTGGCTTTTTCAAGAATCCTCTATCCTCCTATATCCTGATTTAACCTCTTCCAATAGACAAGGTATATGTAGACATTCTTCTAACTATAATCTGGTCTGTCATAACTATGGTTTATCTGAAAATTTTAGCTATGTTTTAACAAGCCAGAATTAAATTTTCCCTGACAGTTTTGGGAACTTCTTCATAGTTCGCTGTATCCAACATTTTTTCAAAAAACACCACCATCCAAAAAAGGATAGCACATATAACAAGCCTGTCTTTATAAACTGCCATTTTTAAGGGTTGAGAATGCAATCCTATACATACTTTCCAGATATGAAGTGAAAATCAATTGCATGTATTAAAGTCTTAAATACATTTTACTTTAGGTTATATTACATACAAAGGGCCGGTCAAGATGGAATGGGATTTTGTAATTCTTTTTATTAAAATAATGATAGATCAAAATCTAACAGGATGGCTGTTTCACACAACCTGAACACAGAAGGAGCAAGCCATTTTGGTGAATATGTTATGTAAATCTGGATATTCTTTACTTGCAAATGGGACTTGTCTCATTCACTTCTGTATTAACAAGTGTTGTTAATACAGAACAGCATGATAAAGACATTACAGGTATCACAGTGCTATGAAGATTAATAAATTAGTAGAGAAATTATTACACAAAGTCTTCATTGACTTTATTTCTTTTTTAGTTATATATAACCTGGTTGAGGGACATGACAGTCTGAGGCCAAGCTAGTTTGGCTTGTTAATAAATCAGCCTCTAAATATTTCCTGTCAGTGGGTTTTTAACTTGCCAGGAGTGTGTTGATTCAGCTAGACCTTTCCTTTGCCATATTCCTTCTTTTCTGCTGTATAAAAACACAATTCAAATAATGAAGCACTTCATGAAGATGGAGAAAAAAACCAGTTTCACCCAGAATGGAATTTGTTTACCTCAGCATTCAAATTAAAAGAGAAGAGTGTCAGTGACAACCCTTTGCTGGTATTACCCAAGGTGCCTAAATGAATATATTGGATTAAAGTTGAAACATGAGTTAATATATGTTATTCAAAACTAGAAAGTGCTTGACAGGACATATGTTTAACAGCTGACAGATTCTTATCCTGGTTGTCATCATGGGACATAATTAAAGGAATATAAGTATCTCCTCTCACATTTCAGCACAGACTGAAAACTGAAGAGGCAACATCTACAACTAAGAGTGGTTCAGAGTAGTTTACACAACTAGCAATCAGTCACAATATTATCCATAGTTAGTGCTTGGCACACTAACCAGGCCCATCCCTCCATGTACCATAAATATGTAAAAGGGAAGGTCTTCACTGGAGCAGAAGGAAGGTGCAGATCTATAAGGTGAATTATTTTTCAGTTACAGAATGTCCAAATACCAGCAGCAGTTCTGACATATAAATTAACCTCCCTTTTTATTACTAATCTCCTTCAGTTTTGGAATCAATCTTTTCAGCAGAGTTCAGCTGAAAAAGTCAGGCTCTTAAGTGTAATTTGTTGGGTCTCTAGAGGAGATGTGAGAAGTCAGAACCTTGAGAGCAACCTATATCCCTATTGCTGCCTGGACAGAATGAATTTGATATTAACTGCATTTGAAGTATGTCAAGCTTTGCCCCTTAAGCTAGCAATTTTAATTAGACTTTAATCCCTTGATCTACCAAATGATTACTAGGTTTTATCCATACCCCAGCAAGTCAACACTAGCCAAAAGGCAGGGCCTGCTCTTGGACAGAGAAATCTTCAATGACCTTATTGAGGACATCGATACCTCCAAAATCCTGCTAGATTGCAGTTCTCCCATTTGCTTCATGTGCCTTTTTAAAAACCCTCTTTTTTAACAGAATTGGAGAAAATTCTTGTCCCATTACAGATTAACATCTGGCTGAGAACTAGAGATCCCCTCTTGCCCTCCTCCCATTCTCCTTTTCAACATCTGTGAGGCTCAGAGGCCACAACTTAAGTCAGAGACTATAAAAGACTGTATTCAGTACAGCCTATAGCATCTGGCCATTTCACCAGAGCAATAATATTCCTAGGATACTAACCTGGGAATGAATATGTTCAATTAATATATACAGCAAGAACTTTATTGACCATGGACCATTTAGTCTAATGAATTCTGTGGGCTATACTGCTGGCCACTATCTCTATATCTCCCAGTAAGAAAATAGGATCTAACTACACCAAAGCTATCTAAGAATCCTCAGTGTAATACTATGCATACTTGCACAAGAAACTCCTATCATACACAATTAGGAATTACTCATCAGTGTAAATACAGGAAGATAGACAGAAAAACAGTTATAAACCAACCCATCTTTCTGTATACTGACTGGTTAAGTTAAATTTAATTTTAAATTTAAATAAGTTAAATTAAGTTAAAGAGCAGAACCAGAAGAAAAAAAAATTAATATTGCTTGAATTAAATGATTAATAAAAATAATTGCTGGTAAAATGATTAGCATTTGTGAACTTAATTGATTCCCATCTGCCTTTATACATCCAGAACATTTTCTCACACACAAATTACATTCTCACAAACTCACATACACACAATTGAAATAGAGTCGGTTTGCAGCAATCTAGGCATAGAAAACGTAAATCTGTGCATGCTACTCAGTAGTAAACACCACTGAATTCAATGGCTGTTATTCCCAGGCATTCATAGGCTGCTGCTGCACCTATGAATGATTAATTCTTTTTGCTCCATATAAACTGAGGTTTCCAGCCAGATCCTTGGGATTTTGAGTTGGTTTTTTTTCTCTTCCTAATTGCCACAAGGAGGGTTCGATAAAGACCTTTGTGCAGTGAGAGCACAAGGAAACCTGTGCATATTTACTTTATGTAAGTCTCCTTGAGTTGAGTGGCTTCATTTCCCAGGTGAGAAGGACTTTCAGTCTTGTTTGATCGGCATGCTAGTTTCACTCTCTGCCCATTCCCCTCCATGAGTCAAGGATCAGTGTGTTTGCAATGGAGTCTCTGCATTCATAGAGACTTCACCATCAAGAAGCCTGATTTTCATGCATTCTTATTTGTGCGTAGAGTTACCAAGGCTCTCTACTGCAGACAATCCATTCCATGTGTATGGAGGATGACAAGAGGAAGATAGGCCTCCTGTCTGTTTTCTGCCACCTATTTTCATTAACTTTACCCATTCACTTACTTTCAAAAGGGTCTTCCTCTATTGCTCCATTCTCAGTGAAGGCAAAATGGCTTTACACTCTAATTCATAGGTAACTATTCAGAGATAAAGCTCATCTCCCTTTGGCGTATGTTGTGGTAAAAAAAAAATTCTGCATTCTTTTTCTATTAATTATCCTTCAATCTGATGGCAAAAAATTCTTCTGAATGTTCTTTTAAAGATAAAGAGAATTCAGTGACTTCCTTATGGTGGAATGTGGTGTTCTTGCACTTATTTAGTTGAGTAACGGCAAAGGAAAGTGTATGAATGTCCTGCCTTTCACTGTATACCAATCATTCTAGCCATCTGTAGCATCCTTGGATTTCCACAATTCACTTAATTCCAAGGGAAGATATAAGATAGAACACCTGCCATTGGGCTTCTTTGGATGGAGAAGTGTATGGGGAGCCCAGGAGTAATGGAGAGATGTGCAACAGGGGGGGAAAAAAACTTAGCATCATCTTTCAGCGTTCAACAATAAAGTAAGTTCACAAATACCACCAAGAAAAATCCGAAAGAAATCCTCATGCTCCCTCAGATGAAGACCAAAAATCTCTGAAGCCTCTTTTGCAAGGGAAGAATACTTGCAAGGCAGATTTTGACACAGTGTCGTGTATTTGGATTTATATCAGTCTTTTTAAATGTAGCATCCCTGATAGCTGACAGATCAAAGACCTTTTCAATATTAATATCTTTACATGCATCAAGAGAAAAATAAAGGAGCTTTGGTAAGCAAGAAGTCTGAATGCAAATTTGGCTCAGCTGCTGAAAAAATTGAATGACTAACAGCTCTATATTTCTTACTTCCAGTCCACATAATAATTGAATATTTCAGGTCCTGTATTAAGAAAGTGGTCTTCCAGACTACCTCATTCCAAGACATTCAGAGCTTCGTATGCCATAATCAACTCTCAAATAAACCGGGAACCAGAGCCACGGCTGCAATATGGCAGTTCCAGGCTTCCTGTTACTGGTCTCATTTCTAAAGATAGATTGGTTTCAGAATTTTGCCTCCTTTGCCTTTTCATATGTGGTTCAGCTTATTTCCTGAAGACAATTTACTTCAACCACACCAAAAAATAAAATAAAAACAGATCAAAAGCTTTATCTTAAATGGGAATATTTAAAGATGGTCTACTTTTTAAAGCTTCTTGTGAGGAAAGGCATTTGGCAGACCGTTACATCATTGGGACTATTAATTAAGTGATACAACAGCTGAAATAAACTGCTGTTAGTTTGCACTCTGGGATAATATCTCCTTCCTATGATTTTGGCAGCTGCTTCAGAGAAAGAAAATAAGAAACATTTACTGAGCTATAGTAAATATAAGAACAGAGTTATTAAATGTGCCATTTGGCAGTTTGGTATAGTGGTTAAGGTGTTGGCCTAGAAAGCAGGAGACTGTGAGTTCTAGGTCTGCCTTAGGCATGAAAGCTGGCTGGGTGACTTTGGGCCAGTCACTCTCTCCCAGCCCAACCCACCTCACAGGGTTGTTATTGTGGGGGAAATAGGAGGAGGAAGGAGTATTAGGTATGTTCACCCCCTTGAGTTATATAAAAAAAGGTGGGGTAAAAATCTAATCATCATCATAATTCTGTAGGAGAGCCAAATTGAAAATAAATCATAGAAATTAGTTACTGAAAAGATACTTGGATTTTTATTTGCAGAAACAGCTATGTGAAGGCTACTTTGGTGGCAGAAAGTAAAAACTTATTTGGTGAAACTATTCATAGTACACTTTGTCATTTTCTTGCTCATACTTACTGTTGCCTTATATAAGGGTTAACTGAATATCACACAAGTGTAAACGGTGTTCTAGTACTCAACCACACTGTGTTCGGTAAGTCATGGTGCTGCAATCTTATAATTTTGGAATGGTAACTTCACTTGTAAATGCTGTGTGTTGTGCTAGGATTACAGTCAGGTTCGCTGGGTCAAGTTGAACTCAAATCCCAGCACTCTTTCAGAGCGTAGTGATCTTCAAACATTCCAAAGCACTTGGAAGTTGAGTCAAGGAATCACTCAACTCGTCTCAATATCCCACCAATAGATGGGAATCAGAATTTGGACACAGCTCATCCTCTTCTTCATATCAAAATAAAATTAATTTCTAAACCAACTTGTAGCATCTCTTCATACCAGATAGGACCAGTGCCATCATCTATCATTCTAGGACAAGTGCTGCTGCTTTCTGTTTTAATGTTTTAAAAATGGGTCTTAATAGCACAATACTGCAAAACAAGTGCTGACTCACTTAGCCACAGCTATTCATATCTGACTTATCTGCAATGAATCTGAATCCTGCCCCCAGCATACATGTCAAGGGTGGACAAAGAAACATTAGGGTTATGGTGGTAGAAACCTGTCCATGGGGAATATTAGGCAGATGAGCCCAACATCCTAGTAAACTGTTCCTTTTCATTGATCCTAATATACTTTGATACAAGTCATTTTTGACAGATATAGAACATGATTAAATTATTAAGGAAATTATCAGTGGGAATGTAGGAAAATCTATTTCAACACTATTTTATCTGTATTTTCTAATTTTGATTAAGTGAGCACTCAGTTTAAGTTCAAACAGTGAAGTTTACAAATATGTTGGGTTAAAGTATCAGTTTATAATGGATGACAACTGTGTTTAGTTCTTTTTTCCTTTTCTCTGACTTTCTTGAAAATAATGTTTATCACCTTTGCAAATGAAATCATAAATAGGAAAGATTTTTTTTAAGTCAAATGTAGAAGAAAGTGAAATTGATTTGCTCATACAAGCAAAGACACTCATAAGCATCTGGTATAAACCATGATTATATGAAAATGACAGAATATGCATTGTGACATCACAACTTAAACCTACACAAGTTTATATTTGTGTCTCAACAGAGGCAAATGCATAAATAATGTGGTTTGTGTCATGAAGTCACAATGCATGTTTTGTCATTTGTCACTCCTTCCCTGCACAAACACACACACACTCCATGCTTACGGAGGGACTTCGAGTGTTTAGGCAGCTTTCCCCAATCTTTGCATCCTCTAAATGTGTGGATTTCAAGTCCCAGAATTCTCAGCAAACCTTTTAACTCTCAGATGAGGAAGACTGACTTAGTTCTGAAAAAGAAATCTGATTCTGAATCCCTGAATATTCATCAATCTGCATAGTGCTGAGTTAGGCTTGCCATCTCTCTCTGTCTCTCTGTCTCTGTCTGTCTCTCTCTTTTTTTTTTTGGCTCATTTTTGACAGCTACGCAACAGCTGGATACAACATGTTTCTTTCAGTGTGGGGAATAGATGTATCTATTAAATTTGGCCAATTCAGATACAGTAGTTGAGAATTTATTTTTCTTTCTTCTTGTTAATTAAGGATGAAAATGTTGGAAAAAGCATAACAGGCAGACTTTGTCCAGTCCTAACAATGACAATGTCTTTGGTAGAAAGCATGACACCAGATGATGTCTTCTAGCCAATACATTTGCCACTCGAGCGTAATACAAAAGTTGAACAAAAATAGTGTCTTTTAAAACAGTGAGTTAACTTAGTGTGTCTTGTGCAGCATTGAAACACCAAGTGTGTTAGTAAGAAAATTAAACTTTTGATTTAATAGTCTGTTAATGAATACCCCCTTTGTTTTCTAGCTAGGGAGGGAGGAGCTTACTGGAGAACATATAGACTAAGGATTGTGAAGCAACAAACAGCTGTGTTAGTATGTTATACAGAGTATGTTATGTTATACTGTATATTACAGAGAAAAGGGTGGGACTGATTGATAGATGTGGATTAACGGGGTGGGGAAGGAAAAAAAAAGGCTTGTATATTTGCCAGTGGCTGAATATTGCCCAGCTTTCCTGCTGAGACGTGTGGCTGTAATCTCCAACAGCTTTAGCTAATGGGAAGCTATAGAGCTTCTGAAACCAGCAGTAACAAGTACTTGTAGACTTGAACACCCGTCTTAAAAAAGGAAAACAGAAAAACAGATCCAGAGATCTTTCATGCAAATGCTTTGTTCAAGAGTTACAGAGTGCTACTTTAAATCTGCTGACCCTTCTTGTTTAGATTTGCTTTACCTGCAAGTAGAGGTGGTGTGTTTATGGCAGGAGTATTTTTTCTTCTGGGTTTTTTTTGATCTTGCTCTGTTTTTTGAACATTATTCTTTGGTGGTTTCTCAGAGAGGTCACACCTCTTAATTAAATGGTCTGAAAGAATACCTGCAGAAATACAGTAAGAAGCAGAAGTAAGATACTGTGAACTATAGTAATTTCATCTTCAGGAGGTCATGCATATATGGGTTAAAACCTGATTAGGAAATAAGATCTCTTGCTTTGATCTAGGAGATGCAATTGACCTATTGTAGTTTTTTTTCCAGCTTAGAGCCCTCCAGATAGATTTGGACTATGATTTCCAGAATTCCCAGATATCACTACCAATGGTGTAAACCACAAATGGGATTTTCTGATACTAAGCTAGTTGGCTTTCTTTTTAGCATATGTAAAGTTTAAATAAGTTAAAACTGAAAGTTCACTGAATTTGGGGGGATGTATATGCCTCATTGCTTCCTCTTCTTCTATTTTCATGTTCTCAAATACAGCAAAGCCTTTTTACTATGTGAATATCCAGTCTGATATCCATTCATCTACATCAGGATCTTAAGATATAGAGTGCTTAATTCAAAGTGTTTAAAATTGAAAAATAGAAGTTTCCTCAAAAATATTGAGCAGAAGCTTGAAGCGTTGTTGGTAAAATAACCCTTGTAACTCTCCATCCTACCTAATTAGGTGCTGGCAATTCTTTCTGCTGATAGTTGTGGTAATAACAGCAGTAACAACATTCTGGATCAAAATCTGATAGATAGGAATTTCCTCCTAAATAATCCCACAAGGCCTAAACTGGACAAAGCCTAAGCAGGCTTAGCTGTTTTTATGAAAGGGGACCTGGGGCCAATTTTGATTATGGGTTCCATCCTGAAAGTGTCTTGTCTTGATGTCAAGCCTCTCAAGCCAATAGGACAATTTTAGTTATTAATTTGTATCCTTGAGATAAAAGTAATTTCTACTCCCCCCTTCAAAAATAGTCATGATGAATATTAAATTTTAATGTTAAGTAGAGCTACCATGTCTGGATTACAAAAATGTGGGAGAATCACAAAGCAGCAGCAAAGAGATACAGAAAACTCTAATGCTTTGTGGGCATCTAGCAGTCATCTGAATTTTGCAGCCTAAATATGGTAGCTGAAATCAGCATATAAAATTGGAATGCAACAATAGTCTCAGTGGCTTGGAAGGATCTGGGTAGAAGTATGATAAAAATTCAGAATACCATATGGAGAAACAGGCACTTGAGGCACACAAAGCCACAATAAGCTATTATGGCATCTTGCCCCCACCACCCCATTACCTCCTCTGCAGCACCCATAGTAGCCTACCTATAATTTAATCATGGACTCTACATTCTATACTTGCATTCTGTATCTCCCCAGAGCCTTCACATGACCCAGAAGCCTATTTTATCAAGATACTCAGTTAGGCAAAGGATGGTGCTCATGTTCACATTAATACAGTATGAAACTGAGATAGGCAGTCCTGTCCCTTTACCAATGAATCCTCTTTAGAAAAGTACTTGAACCAGGCTTCTGTTGCTAGGAGTAAAAAATGACTTGGTGGCACATAATCAATCAATCAGACATATATTGCATACAACATATGATATGAATAAATAAAAGTCAGGGAACTGCTAAATAACATAAGATGCTGTTATTCAGTTTGAATTCCATGCAGGTATCAATGGCAATATCAGTAATGCTAACCTGCTATTGGCGGGGGGGTATTTATTGCTGGTGTGTCTTTTCTCTTTGGTTTTCTCTGTTCCAGGTCATTTTTCTGAGAGCCTTGATGAGTCTTCCCTTTTCTTGGTATCCTTTTGAGTTCACAACTTTTAAGCAACTGCTCAGAAAGATCATCTGTGGATTGTTGGGATTTTTTTGAAAGAATAGGTAACCATGATCAAAACAGTCACATAAACTTCAAACTTGGATAGCAGGAACTTAATCATTGGATTCACATGGCCCTGCAAATACAACTTAATAGAAGTTCAATATAGCCACAGTCAAGGATTCATTAGAAAAAAGTGAAGTTGGAGGGAAGGAGACATTCAGTACACTTCCAAATGCCAAGGAAGGATGGTTACTAGGAAAAAATTCTTCTTAGGTGTAATTTCAGGTTTGCTGGAAGAAAACCATGTCACCATTTTTCCTCTCACAAGCTGATTATTATTTGAATCACTGCATAGTGCCAAAGGCCAAAGGCAACATGGAACGAGCCTCACACGTGTTTGAGCAACAGGCTGAAATAAGGCAATCTTGATTTTTGTGGGTCAGTGAAATCTTTTTGCTACCATGTGGCTTGTTGGAACACATTTAGCAAACATTTGTGTCTGGTTGGTAAACTCAGAGCACTGAACTGAGGTAAAGTAAGGTTTCTGAAACATGAGCAAATATGAGTTTTGAGAAGCTAGCAAAATTTAAATGTGCCTGTTGAAGCAGAAAAAAGGGCACTGCAGCTCTCCAAGGCAATGGTTTTAAAAGAAGCATCCTCCTGCTCCTAAAATATTCACAGTAAAGTTTACATTTCTCTTGACCACATTGTTTGTAAAATCTTCTAGGAAAGGTTTGTTTGGGGGAAATACATACATGATTGTATTAAAGAAAAAAAAAAGCTCATTTTTATTATTCCCTTTTCCTGGTGTTTTGGGGCAGGCAGGCAGGAGAGAAAGAGAGAGAGAGAGAGAGAGAGAGAGAGAGAGAGAGAGAGAGAGAGAGAGAG